AATTTATACCGGAAATTAACAAACGACCAGAGACGTAACATTATTATTATTATTATTATTGCTGTGTGTATGTTGATGTTGCTGTCAGTAGGGAAGCATGTGAAAAAAATTGTATTATTGTGATAGATGATATGTGGTAATCATTGTGATGTGGGTGTAGGTGGGTTCAATTGTGATTGAACTGAGTCGTATGATAATAGAACAGTTATGGTATTATACATTATAACTATTACTGTTATAATTGTCATTTGACACACTTATGACACACAATGATGTTATCATACATTGTAAGTTTTGTTGTAGTTACAGACATTGGCTACCCAAATTACAACAATGTTATTTTGTGTGATAACTATTATTTTAGTGAGCCATATGGCAATCATGATGTTAATATATTGAAATGATAAACATTTAATAACATATTTTTCAACAGTTGGTTCTTGAATGTTTCATGCAAGCTATTGAAAAGGTGAAACAGACAACATCAGCATCCACATCTTGGGCATTAGGAAAACGACATATTTTCCTCAGGTTTGTTTATTATCTTGAAATAATGGTTGTTTTTGAAGCCCCTGAATAAGATGTTTAAAGTTTAATGAAGTTATCAAAGTTCAAGAAAGTTTATCACACCTACTTAATGTATCATCAAATACAAATCATTGTGGTATCAAAGCACTATTCTTCATTTCTAAGATATTAAGGGGAAGTTGATAATTTTTCTACTTCATTATAATTATTATTATATATAACCATGGTATTCATGTATGTGCCAAGAAATTCAGTACTTTTAAAAATTATAATATTGTTTTGTATTGATCTAATTTTCTATAATTTTTTGTGAATTTTTAGATATTAGTGATTTAGTAAGCTTTTAATGTAAAGTTGTTTTCGAAAGATGTTAAACTTTTATAATACATTGTTGTTTCTGTTCAACGTCAAATACAATGATATTGATGTAAGTTTTACAACTTAATGACATTTCTGTAAAGCTTCGAAGCTATTTTACTGCAAGTTTTATGACTCGGTGAAGTTTTAATGTTAAATTGATACATTGTGTAACTTCTGTAATGCATTAATCACTGAAAAGAATGCTATATATCACATGATATAACATATATAATGAGTAAGCTGAAGAACGTATGCATGTTTCTAGTGAGGGTGTACGCCAACAACTGGAAACTTTAAGAATGGAGAGACAACACTATGCAGCTGTACTTATTCAGTCTGTCTGGAGAGGCTGGCACTTTCGGAGAGTTTGGCCTACAGTGCAACGTAGTCTCCGGAACTGGAAACACACAAACAGGTAGAAACTTGTATATATGCCAATAGTGTTTAAAGTTGTTTGAACAAAATGCCAGTATGCACGTATTTGGGTGTGTAAGAGCAGTGACCTGAGGTGAGACATAATCGTGCTGTAATTATGACTTGAGGTGAGACATACTCGTGTTGAAATTATGACCTGAGGTGAGACATAATCGTGCTGTAATGATGACCTGAGGTGAGACCTACTCGTGCTGTAATGATAACCTGAGATGAGACATACTCGTGCTGTAATGATAACCTGAGATGAGACATACTCGTGCTGTAATCATGACCTGAGGTAAGACATACTCATGCTGTAATGATGAATTCAGATGAGACATACTCGTGCTGAAATGATGACCTGAGGTAATACATACTCGTGCTGTAATGATGACCTGAGGTGAGACATACTCATACTGTAATCATGACCTGAGGTGAGACATACTCGTGCTGTAATGATGACCTGAGATGAGACATAATCGTGCTGTAATGATGACCTGAGGTGAGACATACTCGTGCTGTAATAATGACCTGAGGTGAGACATACTCGTGCTGTAATTATGACCTGAGGTGAGACATACTCGTGCTGTAATTATGACCTGAGGTGAGACATGCTCGTGTTGAAATTATGACCTGAGGTGAGACATACTCGTGCTGTAATTATGACCTGAGGTGAGACATAATCGTGCTGTAATGATGACCTGAGATGAGACATACTTGTGCTGTAATGATGACCTGAGGTGAGACATTCTTGTGCTGTAATGATGACCTGAGGTGAGACATGCTTGTGCTGTAATGATGACCTGAGATGAGACATACTTGTGCTGTAATGATGACCTGAGATGAGACATACTTGCGCTGTAATGATGACCTGAGATGAGACATAATCGTGCTGTAATCATGACCTGAAATGAGACATAATCGTGCTGTAATCATGACCTGAAATGAGACATACTCGCGCTGTAATCATGACCTGAGGTG